GCTATACAGCAGTGAGTCTTCTGCTGGATGGGGCAGTGGCCATAGCTGGAGCCGTTCTTCCTGGTGACAGTGGGCACTGGGTTCATAGCCCTGAGTGCTGTAAACAGCTGCTTCACAAGCCTTCTTCGAAGGGCAGCATCTTCTTCTTCATAGAGTTGGTAGTCTTCCTCTTCATCCATGGAGCTGCGCACCCCTGCTGTGTGGACTTGCTGTGTGGACTCATCTTCTGCAGCCGGGGGTTTGGATTGCTGCAGACGGCTTTGTTGAATGGAGGATGGTTGTGTGGTGTTTGCAGGCTTGACAGACAGGCTGGGTGCTGTAAGTGGAAGTGGCACCATAGCTAGAGCTTGGGGATAGAGGGAGGAAGAAGAGGACTCCTAGATTCCTCGATGAAACTCTTATTTTGATTGGTTCATGGATGTTGTAATGTGGTTGGGATCCTGGGAATTTCGCGCTGCTGATTGGGTTGGGGAGAGATGGTATTAATTAAACAATTGAAATTAGAAATTAGAATTGAATACATCAGGAACTATAGACCTATATCCTTACTAACTCTCCCATACAAAATCCTGGCCAAGACCCTGGCTGCCAGAATCACGAAAATAGCTGATAAATGCTTTCACATTGATCAGACGGGCTTTATCCCTGGACGTTACATATTGGATAATGTGCTAACTCTAAACAAAGCTGCAAACAAAGTCAGAGAAAGGAGGATAAACACAGCCATACTCTTCTTCGACTTTGAAAAAGCCTATGATCAAGTCAACTGGTCTTTTATGGATGCAAGTATGGAACGCATGGGGGTGGGACCAATTTTTAGGAACTGGATCCAGCTGTTGTATAATAATGCCTCAGGCTGCGTACAGATTAACGGGTTTCTGTCTGACAGTTACCCAATTTCACGATCTGTCAGGCAAGGGGATCCGCTAGCCCCCTCGATCTTCCTATTTGTGAYGGAGGCCATTGCTTCCTTCCTAAGGAAAGACCCCTCCATACATAGACTCCCAGAGGTCAATGTAGGGACATCTCACCATCTCAAGTTCCCGATAGTTATTTTGTTTGCAGATGACATGACAGTACTGATTAGAGCTTCGGATTCGTCTTTTAAAGCACTGTCCAGGGCAATGGAAGCATTCAGACTGACATCGGAAATGAAGATCAATTGGAAGAAGACCATAGGCTGGTGGCTGTCAGATGAACAAATTCCCAACGTGCAAGGACCGGAGGCTGCCATATCCTGGGAAACGCCAGAAACACCCACCCGTTACCTAGGCATCCTCATGTCACGGGAGGGTCTGGTTCCTCAGATGGCCCAGAACATGTTAGCTAAACAGTCAAACAAATTGGGGAGATGGGAAAACACATTCACCTCACTGATCGGTCGGGCATTGGTACTTGACACTTCTGTCTTCTCTATGATGTGGTACATTGCGTCGGTCTGGACAATTCCGGACGACTCACTAAAGGAACTTAATCGAGTGGTCAGGACGTATTTATGGACGGGAAACCCCAACAAGGAAGGTTGCATCCCAAAGATAGCCTGGCAGTATATCACAAGAAAACCAATACAAGGGGGCCTAGGAATCATCGACCCGAGGTGTGAAACGAGAGCTCTTCAAGTCAAATGGATAGTCCAATTGTTGACTAAACCAGAAACGGCATGGAATAAACTGGCCTTGGATAGCATAAGGGCCTTAGCTCCGGTGGCATCGCCAAATAACATGACAGGGCTATTCTGGGTAATGAATAAGGAATGGTCCTTGAAAAGGGCGAGACGAAGACCCAGGAGGGAAGTAGAAAGGAATATAGACAACCGTCAAACACTGTACTGGGCATCCCTAATCCGGATTTGGAGGGAAATAATGCCAAAAAAGATCAACAGACCAAAATCTAAGGACGAGGTGCTGAGACAGCCTCTCTTTGGCAAYGAATGGTTGAAGGGCGAAAGTGATGAACCCCTGTTCTTGGACCACAAATGGCASTCATGGGTAAGGAATGGAGTCTGGTCAATCAGTCACTTGTGGAACGAAGAAAGGAAGGATTGGGTCTCTGAACAAGAGTTAAGTGAACATTTGAAGGGATGCCATAGAAGAGGACCCAACTTGCAGTACATTATTAATCTTGTTCCTCGGGATTGGAAAGATATGCTAAAACAAGGGGAGCCATGRAAAAGTGGTGAATGGGGGATCAAAGTGCAAGAAACTTCCCCCTCTAGGGCCTTTCAATTCTCACACCTACATCCCGGATCAGCCACTCAAGCGGCGTTCACTTCCTTCCCAATTGACCACTCCACGAAGGGGATGACAACGATTAAGAATATCAACGTGGAAACGACAGTCATGGATTACTTCCTGCTCAGGAAAGTAAGGGTCTTAGGCACATGGCCGGAGTTCATCTTCAGTATCGATACGGTCTTACACAACCTGGAGTTCGACTCGATGGAGTGGGCATGGAAACCAGAAAGGAGGGCAAACATAAAGAGACTCACCCCCATTCAGGATTACACGGTCAATTTTGGGTAAAAAGACCCAGAACCGGTGATCAAGGCCAGGTGGCAGAAGCTAATAGGACAGGAAGCAGACAAGATCATACAGATCCCGTGGAAGATTTATAAAACAATCAGACCAATCAAAATCAGAAGCCAATGGCTGATTATATATGCGGCACTTCCAGTTAACCAGTGGCTACACGTGAGGCGGAAGGGTTCAGATCCCGACAGTTCAGATCAATGCAAAGTATGTACGGAAGGGGCTGTAGAGGATATAGTACATTGCTTAATACTCTGTAGGGGGGCGAAAGAATTCTGGGCAAGAGCCGCGACCCTATGGGACTCCCTGTTCCCGACTCCTTTCCCTGAACAACCCATCCAACTTCTCCTTCTGACTAACATTCCTGAACAACTCCGGAAAGCGGAAAAGACTTGGTATGGACTCATCAGGAAGGTGACACTATGGATCATATGGAAGGAAAGATGCAGCAGAACGATCGAAGGAGTGTCCAACCCACGAGAGATGATTTGGCTGGAGACGAAAGCAATGATACAGGCGGAAATCATTTGCCGTTGGCGAAAAATCAAACAATCATGGCCAGAGGATGAGGAACAGCGAAAGAAGGCAAGACGGAAGTTCAGCAGGATATGGTTGATAAGAGGGAAAGTTGCTGATCTAAGAGACGACCGCATCTACTGGAAGGACTGGCACAACTCCAACTCGGGAAGCAGTATTGGGCAGGGTCGAACTGCGCAAGGGCAAGGCACCTCCGGACCAGAATCCTGAAGAGGAAACGGTATCAAGCAAACCTCGGCAGAAGACAAGAAACAGCGAAAGAACAGGAGACTGAGACTGTACAAGAATAGGTTGTGTATACGGCAAGTCGGCCAAGAAGATGAGAGGACTGTATCTACTGGAAGGAGAGGCATAACTTAGTGCTTCCAACGGAGGTTAAAGGCGGATGCATCAATCACTTCTTGAACACGAGATGACAACACTTACTGGAAGTTTTTGGACACGTCTCAAACTTAGAAAGAGGCAATCGAGAACAGATAACTGTGGACGGGCAAAACACAGCCAGATCAGACTTCCATGGGATTTCGACAAGCCTAAACTGCTACAGCTATGGATTAACAACACAGATTCGGATGGACGGCACCATAAGGTGTAGGACAGACAAAACAGGAAAGGGGTTATTAGGATGGGTTTAGAGGACACGTCTCACGGTAATACGGGTTCAGAGGTTGAGGGTTTAGGGGTAAGGGTTTTAGGGATGTTTTAAAAAAGGCGAGGACAGACAAAACAGGAAAGGGGTTATTACGACTCACGGATAAAAAAAAAAAAAAAAAAAAAAGAAAGAAGTTAGACTATGGGACGTCGGGGGCACAGGTGAAGGGTTTAGGGTGTAGGATTATCATAGATCTTCCAAAGGGACAGGAAGGTGCGTAGGGAAGTTACAGGCCGGCAAGGTTAGCGGATGAACTCTTTCTAGGGACAATGGTGCTATCTGGCAGACCTGGATCCTAGGTCTGAGAGGAAAGAGTGGGAAAAGGCAAGCTGACAGTCAATCCTTCACCGCGGTGGAGCAATCAATGCTGTTCAGGGATCCTTCGGCCTGACGGAAGGAAGCGTGTGAGAGTGTTTCTTGATGTAATGCCCATTTTGACTTGCCGGTGGAATAGGAACCGAACTGACGCTCCCCAGAATAGAAGGAGCCAGGACCATAAGGCCCTGTTTCGAAAAAAAAAAAAAGAAAAAAAAAAGAATTGAATAAATCAATTCTATACTTGGTTTTGTGAGCTTTCCACTGTGTATTCTCCTCACCTGGTTGGTGTGGATTGCTCTCTCCTTGTCTGCTTGTCATTGTGCATGTGTATGGGAACGTGTGAATGCCATGCTGGATTCGTTTTCAATCAGGCACATAACAAACATCTGAGTGTTAATGGAGTCAGCTGAATCTTTGTAGGAGATCTACGGTCCACTTGACATTACCTCTGGACTTAGCTTCAAAAAATAAGAGGACAGTAGCTGGGGGGGAAAGGAGGGCTTAGCTTCAAAAAATATGAGGACAGTAGCTGGGGGGGAAAGGAGGGCTTAGCTTCAAAAAATAAGAGGACATTAGCTGGGGGGGGAAGGAGGACGATGATGATTGAAACTGTTTGTTGGGGGGGGGGGAGAGAGAGAGAGAGAGAGAGAGAGAGAGAGAGAGAGAGAGAGAGAGAGAGAGAGAGAGAGAGAGAGAGAGAGAGAGAGAGAGAGAGAGAGAGAGAGAGAGAGAGAGAGAGAGAGAAAGAGATGAGAGATACAAGGTTGGGTTACACGTACCTGCTGCTGTCTCTTATACACATCTAGATGTGTATAAGAGACGAGAGAGAGAGAGAGAGAGAGAGATCTGCACTGTGAGGCAGAAAGATGGAAGAGTGAGAAGTTTAAGCAGAAGGCTGATTAAAAATGTACATGGAGCAGAAAGATTCTACAAATAATAACTGAATCTGTACAGAAATGCAGTTTAAGCGGAAGGCTGATTTTGGGTTCAATGAACAGCAGTAACTACCTAAGAGAGACAAGACTTCCTACCAATATCTTGAACTACCATATGTGCATCCATCCAGGTCACCTTAGAGCAGCCATCCCCTGGAAGAAAGAGGACTGTAAGCAGGAGAGTCAGCCAGCATTGGAACGATACACAAGGAGGGGGTCTGGACAAGCAAGGGACAGACGCCAAGGGGACACAAAGTTGGGGGCTGTGCAGAGCACAGCATTGCAGCCATTAAGTCAGACAGAGGAAGTCTTTGCGAGAGAGATTGTCAGGAGGGATCATTAACACTGACGACAGCAGGAAATGATAAGGGAGGCAGTCTCAGATTGGAACTCAGAGGAATGACCCCCACTTTACTATCAATTCCTAGAGGTGCGCTTTGGCAGCTCGAATTATCGACCCTGTACATTTCCCATTTCTTAATTCCTGTGCTCTCTAGAGCGTGTAGAATTCTTTCCTCGCTCTCTTCTCTAGGCCATTTCCCATCTGGAGTGCAGAGGACCGCACCCATGTATGATTGCCCCGCTGCAGCCGCAGCTCCAGCATAGTAGAACAATGCCCATGACAAGTCCTCTGCCACATCCACTATTCGCCAATACTCCAGTGAGATAACCCCATTGTCCAGCACGGAGAAGTGGAAGGTACCGGGAACCTGGGCTCTGCGGACGCGGTAATGTCGTCGGCGCCAGACGACATGCTGGTCCAAAGTCCGCACCTGAAACACTGGATCATACCACATCGCATTCCGAGCTCTCCCGCGGTAAAACAGCTGGTACTGGCATGGGAACTGGTCGTACGCCGCATTCTGTCCAGCCACGACCCTCCAACTGTACTCCTCCTCTCCCAGCCATCCTATGAACAGGTCTTCAGCCATCTCGTGGGTCAGTGGGTGGCCCCTAAACGAGGTCATGGGCTGGACCTCAGGAGAGGAGGGGATCTCTGCACTCAAGCCCAGGCAGTTATTTTTCTGCAAAATGCACAGAGAAAAGTCTTCCAACAAAGGACTCTCGTACGAGACCAGGCATCTGTAGCTGCACACTTGATCGTTGGGAGGGCATTTGTTCAGACACTCTAGAGCCTTGCTGCACGTAGGATCCGCCAGACAAGCTGCAATCTTGGGCCCGCACTTCGTTACCATACACCACAGAGCTGAAAGATTGTTGGCCCTTAGGTTTTTCAGCTGTGGGATGTCCACCACGTAGCTGTCTATCAGCAGCATCAACACGAAGAGCACGTCATCAGCCTTTCGCCGCTCCCAGGCTTGCTGCACTGTCTCGCTTGTCCGTTGAGCAGCCTTCATCTTCTTAGCAGCGGAAGTCCATGGCAAGGCCATAGCCAACGACCCAAGCAGTGTTTGTCCTGCTTCTTCCTCCCCCTCCTCCTCCCTTTCCTCTTTCAGCAGCTGGCAAAGATCTGCAGTCACACCCTTCTCCTCCTCTCCCGTGACACCTTGTTGATGAGGTGCCACAGCACTCTGCGCTGCTGATGTCAACTGAATGCCTCCCAGGCGAACACAGCTCAGCGGCTGCGGTGCAGAGTCGAGTGCCAAGAACGTGTCCACAGATCGGGACCGCACCATTCGTGCGAGACAAGTGGCAGCCTCCTCGTCTCGGACTTCCACTACAACCACGACATCCGCTTTCTCCAAGGCAGACTGGAACCGTTGTCGGGAACTTGGGGATTCATCTCCATCAGTCGGAGACCTGGACTGGCGGAGTTCTGCTCTGAGAACATCATCAGTGAACACATCTGTTCTAAATTTAGGGTTTATCCAACGAAGCCGTTGACCAGTGTGTGTCATCACCTCCTCCCAGGGAACACCATCAAAAGGGCTTCTTGATCCAGCACCCACCACGACAAGCAGGCGAGCCAAGGCATCATCATCAAGAGGGGCCAGTTCCTCTTCTTCGCTTGGAGCATGTCCTTCCCAGCTACTGCTTCTGCTGTCATACTCAGCAGCTCGTGGTTCTGATGTTTCGTTCTTAGAATCCACAGAGTCCGAGGAGCCCGGAACACCAGAGCCCAATGCCCTAGTCACAGCACACCTGGTCCAGTGAGGATTTCCAGCTGGTCCCGGATTAAATTTTGTGCCCATTATACTGCTTGTTGATTGCGGAATTTTATCCAATGCGAGGAAAGCTTTGAAGTGGTTGTGTCGTCCATTGCCTGATGTTGGCCTCAACCTCGACAGCCTCCAATTTTGCCCACAGAGGGCGCAGGAGGCCGGGGGCTGGAGGAAGCCTCCAATCTGCGAAGCAGGTCCACACCTCGTCAAAATCCCAGGGAGGCAAGCATGCAAAACAGGCACCTCGTCATAAAAACTACTACCAAAACAGAAAAAGGGAAAGGAAAGGAAAGGAAAATGGCAATCAGCAATGAATTCCAAATGGAAAGGATGACATAGGAAAAGTTGTAGGTGCTAGCCTTTTGTTAAAGCACAAGAAATGAACTTTTTTCAAGTTTTTTGTTAAACCGCCAGTACATGGGCCCAGCGGGCCGTAGATAAAATGTTTCGTCGCCTGGTCCAAAAAAGTCGGCACCAGCGGGCCGTAGATCAAATAAACCGGTGGCTGGCATCGCGTTTCGCCAAGTCCAAAAATAGTCTCCCCACCGAATGTCCAATCAATGTCTGCCACCAAAATGTTGAATCAGATCCCGGGCTCATAGCCCGAACCTCTGCCTGCAAACTCTCCCTCTCTCTCTCTCTCTCTCTCTCTCTCTCTCTCTCTCTCTCTCTCTCTCTCTCTCTCTCTCTCTCTCTCTCAAANATTGGACTACTTTTTGCAGTGCACCTGTTCATGGGCATCAAATGCCATCAATCAATCAAATTCGTTGGACAGGTCAATCGATCAACCTCTCAGTCCTGTCTCTTATACACATCTAGATGTGTATAAGAGACATCTCTCTCTCTCTCTCTCTCTCTCTCTCTCTCTCTCTCAAAGAAGAAGAAGAAGAAGAAGAAGAAGAAGAAGAAGAGGAAGGTGTGGAAAGGAGGAAGGAAGAGGGAGGACGAGGAAGAAGAAGACGGAGTCGTCCTCCTCGCTGTCCTCACCTGCGAAGGTGGCCGCCGTTATCTCACAGGTCGCCGGCGCGGAGCTCGGCTATGGCGCCCAGGTACGTGCGCCGCTGCAGGGTGGCCTCCGCCCCTCGCTCTACCTACACCTCTACTCCCTAGCGCAGCGCCGTGTCGTGCTGCTCCAGCAGTGTGTCGCCCAAGAAGTGAGCTACTCGAACTGTGTGTCTGCCCTGGCCTGGACCAGCTATAAGCAGCGTTGGGCCTCACTGGTGTGCCTCTAGTCCTTGGCCTGAAACGGTCTTCCTGGGTCCCTACCGGACGTCCAGGCCCTCACTGCTGATGTAGCAGGGGAGTGTCCGCTACTGGACAAACACGAACCTGGCCCAAATGGGCCTGACTGCTAATGAAGAAGGCCCAAAACCTAGCCTTTGTCTGAACAGACTGGAAGTCTGTTCGGACGAACTGCAAGTCCGAACCGATGCCTGGACAGACAAAAATAGGACAGCAAAATACATAAATAAATAAATGCTGCCTCAAATCGAATCCTGCGGCCCTCAGGTCACCCGTGGGCCTCTAGGGCACATGTCTCAATGTCATGCGACCTGGGGGCCTCCAGCAACCGTCGGGCCCCAGAAACGGGGCCCGTGTGCAGGCTCAGCATGCAACACCCCCCCCTCCTTATGAACTCAAGCCGGGTTGAGGGCGAAGCTGACGACACGATGGTGGAACCTGGACGTGAGTATGGCGTGGAGTCGAAGATACTGGCTTGCCTTGCTGTTTGCGTTTGTAGCAAGCACACTGCCAGAGAGCTTCCTCGTCCCTGTTCCCTCACCCCCTCTGCCATCCGATGATGATTCCTTGGAGTAATCTAACCATGGTGATGGCCGAAAAGGTCTCCATCTCCCG